GCTCATGATTTCACACATTTACCTAAATGACCTCTGCAGGGTGTTTTCACCTGAAACAAGAACTACTGCAAGAAACAAGAGTCTAAAACTAAAGTCTGATCCCTCACATTCTTATGACTAAAGAAGCAGGTGTTTAAAAGGTATTTCATACTGTAACATACCTGAAGCTGTAGTGCTTATCCTCTGCATTCCACTAAATCCCCAGAACCTGTCACAGACGTTATACTTGATGAATGTTTAATGTATAATGGCAGATGGTTTTCTTAATTTCTTTCCTCTTAAGTGCTCCTTAACAAAACACACAAAACCCCTGAACAATGAAACATTTTCCACCTCATCAGGCTGTTCTGGGATCTGTTAAGGAGCCGAGTCTTGCATCCTGCAACAGGAAATAAGAGCATACCCACAGGCCTGTAGGGGAGGAGCAGGGGCTGCGGCAGCACTGCTTTGACCACCTCACACTTTACCAGAAGCAATGTGTAATGACAATCCCAACTCAGAGCAGACTGCACATTCCAACAACCTGGCTATAAGAAGGTTGGGTTTAAGCCAGAGCAGTTTCCCAACCCAGTTTAATACAAAAACACCCCCAGTTTTGCCAGCATAGAACCAGAGCAACAAAGCAGCAAGGACCTGGGGTGCAGTATTGCCAATTTCAGTATCAGTTTATTCCAGCTTGCATTATTCACAGAACTACAACAGAAAATCACCTGTACTGGATGAGCTTCTTCCTACCCCATTAGGCTTCATCTATGTGTGTGCATGAACACCAGTGTGTTTGAAACTGGTTTTTGGGTCAGCAGAATCCCAGACTGGTTTGGGTTGGAAGGGACCTTAAAGCTCATCCAGTTCCAACCCCCTGTCCACTAGAGCAGGTTGCTCCAAGCCCCTGTGTCCAACCTGGCCTTGAACACTGCCAGGGATGGGGCAGCCACAGCTTCTCTGGGCACCCTGGGCCAGCACCTCAGCACCCTGACAGGGAAGAGCTTCTGCCTAAGAGCTCATCTCAGTGTCCCATCTGGTAGTTCAGTTTAACACTTTTACAAGTAGCCCAGCCCTTTACAGATTCACCCAGAAATACTGACAACTACACTGTCCTAGCCAAGGGCCTTGCACTAAAACAGGGACTATAGACCTGCAACCACTGCTGTCTGTGAAGAGCACCCGAAAACAGGGGGACACACAACTGTGTCCTGAGGAAAGAGCAAGAGCTCCATTGCTAAAAAGCCCATTTACCCCAGTTTACCTTGGTGTACAATAGGAGGTGGATATGAACACCAGTGAAGCTGTTACCATTGCTTTAGCTGACACTGCTATAAACCTAGACGTAGAACAAGGCTTAAAGCAAATCACAGAATGGTTTGGGTTGGAAGAGGGTTGGAAGCTCATCCAGCTGCAAGCCCCTGCCACAGGAACCCCTGGATCTTGTGGGAAAGCTGCATTTACACAGCCCGGCAGGAATCTTGCCCTCAGAGCTGTAAAACCATCAGCACAGAGGCAACGTTTCACTCTCCCAATCAGGTGATAAAACCCAACGTGTAAAGAGCACGTTTCAGTACAACCCGTTACAGTAGCAGCCTCTCGCTGCACATCCCGAGTAACTTCACAGTTTTGGAGCTGATTTAACAATCTCAAACTGAATTAACACAGCGAAACCTGGCTCTGCAGACTGCAAAGGGAATCTCTAACCAAAGGAAAACGCTCTGCGGAGGCTCTATCTCGTCTCCCTGAAGCACCGGGGTGCCCAGCCCAGGCCCCTGCCGCCCGCTAAGGCTGTGGGTGTCGGTCGTTACCAGGCACACCGCGACCCCTCCGCCACACACCTGCACTTTAACCTGCTCCACCGGCTCCGGGGCCTGCAGCGCCTCACGGACCCGCAGCGCCCGCGGCAGGGAAGCGCAGCGGCGAAGGCCCCGCCACCACCACCCGCCCCGGGCCCGCAGCATAGCGCAGGCCTAGCGGGGCCGCTCCCGCCGCCAGCCCGGCCGCATCCCGCCACGGCCGACCGCTCCCGTGAGGCGAGACGAGACGATAGCATCATGTGACCGCCTCAACCAATAGCCGCAGGGGGGGCTACCCCAGAGAGCCAATCGGAACCGAAGAGCACCCATCGCGAGAACAGCCTCTCGCGCAAGGGCTTCTGGGAAATGTAGTTCGTGAAGTGCCATGGCAGGAGGCCGGCATCGCCATGGCAGGAATCCGATGGCAGGCGGGAAGGGACCCCTGTTTTGGGACACAGGGGGTCCCTATGGCTCGGGTAAGGGGTGCTGCTGCTCTCTGGGACCTTGGCAGTGCTGTGGCTGCCTCCTGTGCCTCAGGAGCTCTGCCTGGTCTCCCGTTGCAGAAGGAGGGGAAGGGGCCAGGTTGGAGCACCTGAGGAACAAGACAGTTCCCGTTGGGATCGGAGCCAGGCCAGGCTGCAGCCCTGCTCCTCACCCAGCCCTTGTGGGAGCAGGATGGAGGGAGAAGCTGCCCTCCTCAGTGTACAGTGCCCTGTGTATTTCAGGGATGATCGGTAACCTCCTGTGCTGCTGAATCCTTCTCTTACACAGCGGGATAAGCACTGGATCGACCTGTGCTTTTCCTAATCAGGGATGCAGGATGTGGTTCTGCTCTGCAGGCCTTGCTGGAGGACAAGGCCCTTCTGTCCCTTTTTCAGCCTCACAACCCTCTGCCCTTCCAGCTCTGCAGAAGGAGAAGTGTTTCCAGCTCTATGGAGAAGGATTTGGGAATACTGGTGGGCAAAACCTGGACAATGCACGCTCGCAGCCCTGAGATTCAACCGGATTGTGGGCTGCATTAGAAGCATGGCTAGCAGGTCTAGGGAGGTGATTTTGCCCCTCTGCTCTGCTGCAGTGGGATCCTCCCTGGCGTTCTCTGTCCAGCTTTGACATCTCCAGCACAGGAAAGACATGGACCTGTTAGAGTGAGTCCAGAAAATGATCAGAAGGCTGGAGCATCTCTCCTATGAAGAAAGGCTGAGAGAGGTGGGATCATTCAGCCCCCAGGAGAAGGCTCCATGGGCATCATATTGCAGCCTTTCAATACTTAAAGGGGGCTTATAAGATGGAGAGAGACTTTTTGCTAAGGTCTGTAATGACAGGGCTCAGACAGTGGTTTTAAACTGTAAGAATGGAGATTTAGATTGCACGTGAGGGAGAGCTCTTCCCTGTGAGGGTGCTGAGGCGCTGGCACAGGGTGCCCAGAGAAGCTGTGGCTGTCCCATCCCTGGCAGTGTTCAAGGCCAGGTTGGCAACAGGGGCTTGGAGCAAGCTGCTCTAGTGGAAGGGGTCCCTGCCTGTGGCCGGGGTTGGAGCTGGATGAGCTTTAAGGTCCCTTCCAACCCAAACTGTTCTATGAAAATGGGATAATATCAGTCCTGCTTCCCCACCCAGCCCAGGCTTTGCCGCTTTACTCTGACCTTTGCCTGGTCCATGTATATTCCTCTTCTTGTGCAGTCACACCGCAGAAAGGCAGCAGCAGAACGTATCTGCTGTGCTTGTGGTCAGAGATTGTCTCATTCCTGTGCAGTGATGTTTGGAGTCGGGTGGGTGAAACAAGAGACAGCAGCAGTGTGATGCCCCAGGGCCAGGAGATGCTGGGAGGCAGCTTTGGTAGGGAGGCAAATCCCTGCCTCGCTGAAAGTCAAAGTCTCAGGTACAGAAAGAACTGCCAGCCAGAGACCTCGTTTAAAAGGAACAAGCTGGGCTTATGGGAAAGAGAAGAGCAAAGCTTTGTAGATGCCTGGTTTCAGCTTTCCCCTGTGGTGCTTTTTATCTGTGCATGAAAAGCTGCTTGTCCTCAAAGTCCCCATGCTGCTTGCCAGGCCCTTCCTTCACCTCTGCCTTTGCTCCCAGTAAGCCCATGTCCCTTCCTGTATCTCTTAGTCTAGGCCTGAGCTCTGAGCTGCCTTGAAAGGCCGTCCTGAGGCATTAGAGCTTCAGGGCAAGGGCACAACATAACTGGGTGGATAAGAAACAGGAAGGACAGGAGACTGCAGGGAGGGCTGCAAGTGCATCCTCAGCCAACAAGGACAACTTGTCTTTTCCAGGCTGCTCCAAGGAATGAGGGAGACTGCCTGTACACATGCAGGTTAATGCCTTAGCACTGGGGTCAGGGACACACATGTCTCGGTACTCTTAAGTGAACAAAATGAGTTTTGTTTTAATGCCAGGCACCATCCCCTCCTGTAAGGGCCAGCATTGAGCTTTTGGTGGCTGTTGGTACAGCGATGTGATGTGTTCTCTGAGACCATCACAGCTCACAAAGGAGCTGGCGCTGCTTCAGTGTCGGTGTCAGGCAGAGATACAGGATGTAAAGTGGTAGGAAAAGAGGGCTCAGTCATTCAGGGAACTCCTGGCTTAATGTGAAGGTTAAACAAGTGCATGATGACTGTTCAGTGCATGTTATGTGTTCTTTCTGTCCTATCACAGACAGTGCATTTCTTACTGCTCTCACCTGTAGGTTTTTCTCTCTTGTCCAGCCTATACTGCAATAGAATATCTTTTTCCAGTGTTATTTGACTCATAAAATCCTTTTTAGGGTAAATAAAGAATTAATTTAGGGAAAAATTAGGGAGTAACACCAATGACAGTTTAAATACACCAGGAAAGGGGTAAGGTCCTTCCCCTCACACCCATCTGCTCCAGGACCAGCTATGGGTCTTTGGAAGGAAGAGGAAAGTCTGGCCTCAAGTTTATAGGACTGGAATTGAAGTTCTTCCATCTGGATGAATCTGTTTCTTTCCAAAGACCAAATTATATCACTGGAGAGGGCAGGAATTTGTTCCCCAGAACAAAAAGAGTGATGAAGTAAAGTGCAAAGCTGATGATCTCTCAGATGGCTTTTCATGGAGTCACAGAGTGGGTTGTGTTGGAAGGGACCTTAAAGCTTGTCCAGTTCCAACCCCTGCCATGGGCAGGGACCCCTTCCACTAGAGCAGCTTGCTCCAAGCCCCTGTGTCCAACCTGGCCTTGAACACTGCCAGGGATGGGGCAGCCACAGCTTCTCTGGGCACCCTGTGCCAGCGCCTCAGCACCCTCACAGGGAAGAGCTTCTGCTTAATGTCTAATGTAAATTTACTTTCTTTTCTGCCTTTTCTTTTTCTTTCTACCTGTTCTGCTTGGTCTCAGCTCTACGTCAGCTACTGCTCCATGCACCCTGATCTACACCATACTCGCTTTTACCAAGTTCCTTACCTGGGGCTGATGTTACCAGGACTTTCTTACATTGCTGTGAGCTTTTCCAGGCTCTTGGACTGCAGACAGTGCTCATGGGCTGACAGCAATTTGTATTAAGATGCCAGGAGCGTAGGCAGTGGTTGCTGTGTTCTCCAGCAAATATCGGTTTATTCGAGAGCTGAACCATGGCCCCAGTGAAAACACTAGATCTCAGTTTGTTTCTGTAGGTCTGTATGGGTCCATGCAGTGGTGGAGCTTAGTTACTGCTCTGTTCCTTCTCTTTTACATGACCTGAGCGTTTTAGAGCCATTTCAGGTGTCTGCAAAGACATGGCAGTGTCTGAGCATACATTTTGTTTCTTTCCCTGCAGAACAGAGCTCTTCTAACAGCTCTCCAGAGGGCATTGCTGCTGTTTGTGGCTGAGATCTTTAATGTAAGTCTAGCTGGGAGGCAGGAAGCTGGTTGTCAGTGTGTCTGCAAGGAGGGAGGTTTAAAGGGTGGTGAGAAATAATGACGCTTCTCTACTCTCAGTGGGGTGTAGGGGCTGTAGAGAATGCATGGAGCAGTGGTGGGAAAAGGGCATCAAACAGGCAGGAGTAGAGAATCAGCCTTATGCTTGTCACCCTGTTGGCACCATCCATATAGTAATGTCCAACCTGGCAGAAGTTCTCTGAAGTGCCTCCTCTGTGGATGTTTCAGCCTGATGCTTTAGCTCCAGACTGTCTCCACATGGAGCCTCCTCACCCGTGCTCTCTGCATCTTTCTGTTCCTTCACTTTGTCCTTCCTGCTGGATGGAGGAGGAAGAGCTCCACACAGTCCTGCCATTGAAGTGAATCTGTCCTTGTTCCATTCTGACTCGGAGATCCTCCAGACCTGGCCAGGGAGTGGGACTCTAACAAAGGCAAGAAACAGAGTGGGAATGGTACAAAGCAAGAAATCAGATCCTGCCTCCTCCGTGATGACACTCACGTGACTGGTGTCTGGTTTGTCCTGGTTTGTCCATGCAGTTTGGAATTGGAGATGTTGTTGCAGAATACCTCTCCCCTCGGGGCTAGGTGTGTGGAATTCTTTTCCATGTCTCCTCCTGAGAGCCCTGAAGATGCGTTTGCCAGCAGTGGCGCCTTTCAGGGATGTGGAACAGTGGTTGTCAGAACGTGGGCATATGAATTATGAAGGGCTGGATAATCCAAGTCCTGACTGTTAATGAAGGCCTGCACAACCCGGGACTGGAGCTGAGTGAACGACCTTGAACTGGCTGTGATGCAGCTGAAATAAGGAAGTATGGCAGTGGAAACAAGAAAACAGGACGTTGAAGCAGAAACTTGCTGACCACAAGGAATGTACTGTTCACCGCAAGGAATGTACCCTGTTGTTACAGAGATATATGTAGAAGATTTAGCTTAGCCAACAGCAATGTCTAGATAGGCGCGTGGACAGCTACATGTAACCAATGAAAAGTGTGTTGCTAGCGTGTGAACTATGGTTAGCCATATAAATATGAGTGAATCTGGGCAGTAAAACGAACAAGAAGCATAACTCAGATTGAGTCGTTCTCTTGATTCCGGTCACTCTCTCCGACATTTGGTGCCCAAATAGGGACTCGAGGATCGACTCGGACTTCTTCAAACTGTGTCTGGCCCTTGTTGCAAAGACACAGACAGGAGAAGTGGAGGAGACGATGGTGCAGGAGCGTCTACTAGCAAAAGCGGCGAAGCTCGGCTAGAAGAGACAGCTGTTGTGGACTGCGCACCCACACCTGCACGGGTAAGACCGCACTCTAAAATCTGCTATGGATTGTCACGCACACTTTTAGAACAATTACTTGCTAAGCGAGAGGCTAGTGTGAGTACGAAAAAGCTCGGAGAGCTATGTCGTTGGGCTAAGGAAAAAGGACACTTTAAGGACCCACAGCTGATGTTTAGCGCTACTGAATGGAGGGAAGTTGGGACCTCTTTGTGGGACGCTACCATTGAAGGGAATAAAACTGGAGGAACAGGCGGTGGTGAAGCTCCTCCAACACATTCTCTCTAAGAGAGGACTGCAATATGATAGTGCCGCCTTACAGAGGCTGTTAAAGTGGTCCCGTGATCGCGAGGTTAGTAAAGGGACCAAAGGTGCACAGAAACACTCTACGCTTTGGAGATTGGTGTTTGAGACTTTGAAAGAGATGAAATCGGAAAGGGCGGCGGTAGCTTCTGTGTTTGCCGCCACAGCTGCAGGAGGGGCTGTCTCCCCTAACCCCCATCGTAGTGCTGCGGCTATGACTTTTGCACCTCCTGTGGTACCTGGAACGGCACCGAAAAAATCAACGCCCCGAGCTGATGAAAGCAAGAGGCAGGTCCGCAGATGGCCACGTACCGAACGAGAGACACCTGACAGGAAAGACATAGCTGCGAACAACGGAGACCCTGAGTTCGACCCAGGATCGGACTCCGAGTCCCCTGAATCCGAGCCAGATTTATATCCTCTGCTTCCAGACTCTGACTCGTCGTCTCCCGGGTCGGTCTGCTCAGCTCATCAGCAACTACTCACTGGCCTTGGAGACACTCAGCTGCAACAATTGATGAAAAAGCTTGAAGCCCTCGAGACTCGGATTGACACATCTCTATCAGCACCGCCACCTTGTCCTCCGCAAAACCCCTTCCTTAAAGAAGGCAACCAGGGGAGGGGGTGGGAGAGGTATCGGGGGGCACAAATCCTGCGCACTGTTGGCACGGGTTAATCAAAGATGCAATTATTACAGGTGAATTTTCTGCAGTGGGCCTCTCTGCATATCCTGTGTTTACTACACAGCAGGGGGCTAAAGAGTGGGAAGCTTTTGATCTCAAAATAGTTAAGGAGGCCTGACAAGCGGTGACCACCTATGGGTTAAAATCCTCTTATACTCAAGCTGTATATATTACGATTTTTTTTGCGATTGACAGGAGACTTTAATGACCCCCCTGCTATAGTACATGGTCAGGCATTAGGTTCAGGTTATATGACTAAAACTCCGGGTATTCTTGTCCAGTACAAGGATTTGGAAACCAGCATTTGGAAAGGTTCTGCGGAATTAAAACTAACTGGTTGAGGTTATATGTGTGTAAGTTACAGATTCCTGTCTGCAGTGGGTGCCAGCTCGATGGGTGAAACCCTGGAAAGAGTCAGCCCCACTCCAGGACACCCCCCTTGTCAGTGATTGAATGAATTGAAATTTGAGCTTAGGACATCCGTTTTATGGATGCTTTCAGTCCTTCTTAAAGTGAAGGGAGCAATCTTTTTTATGTTAAAGTAAACAAAAAACAAACAAACCCAAAACCCAAAAAGAACCACCCTCCATCCCCACGCCCCCGAACCTCCAGGGAAGCAAGACCAGCATGGGATACAGACGTATTGTGTGATTTTCTGGTGGTGGGAAGGTCTCTCCTATGCTCTTATCAGGGGTATTGGGCATACTGTGATGGACCGTGGACTTGGGACCCCTTATACAACTCATTTGATACAGTTTCTCTGTGGTACACATGTACTAGAAATTGGTAAATATAAATATGTCCAGGTTTCTATCGACCTTTGGAGACCTTTATAGATATTGCTGGCCACTTCTTCCAACGTAGGCTGGCCACCTGTGTCGGAATGAGTGTGCATTTTGGTCAGTATAAAAGCCCAAGCCTCATGCGATGTGGGGGAGGCAGAGCCTCTGCGGGGATGCCCGCTAAGGATGAGCCTGCCACCTTGCACTGCAATGATGCTTCTCGGAGCTGGTTTGCTGTTAGTCTCCACAGGGTCCTTGTGCCACGTTCTGTACGTGGGACTGTAGTGGGAGTACTGATCGTCTGGATTTTGTGCTTCAAATATTGTAGTTGTGTGGCGTGTGCTTGTGGGATCCCATACGTGTGTGTGTGTGTTGAGGGCAGACAGTGTTGTGTGTATTTTTTGTTGTTGGGTTCATGTAAAAGTTTTTAACCGGTAGCAGTTTAACATTTCGGGCAAGAAAGGGTTAATGCAGAAGTGCGGTTGCCGGCAGGTATTTATGGTTGCTGCTGAAGCAGGCAGGCAGCTGTAGCTGCTGCCGAGCAGGCAGGCTTTTATAGCTGCTGCCGAGCCGGCTGGCGTTTGTAGCTGTGCAAAGCAGGGTGAGCGACTTTTGGAAAAAAAAAAAAAGCAACAAAAAAACCCCAAAAAACCCCAACAAAACAAACAAAAGCCAAAACCCAACCTCTCAATCTATTGAGGTATTGAGGCAGTCTGTAGAGACGCCACAGACAAAGCCTAAAGAGCACCTGCAACACAGTGGGTGCATGCTTGGAGCCTTGCTTAGTATGTTTAAGGTAACCTGGGGGTGAATCCAAGACTTGGAGGAATAGATAGATAGGTTGAAATAAGAACTGCTAACTGAAAAAGCGAGAGGGGTAGTGCAACCACAAGCTTTATGAGCCGTCACCTGAGCAGCATCAGGGTGGCAGAAAAAAAAAAGAAAAAAAAAGAAAAAGAAAAAAGAGGCAATGATGCAGCAAACTCCTCGACAGTTAACAATGTGCAGTTTAACCTGTCTGCTTCTCAAGAACTGATAACCTGGAGGAGGGGCTATATTTGTGTCCTCCTGCCTACAGGTCCATGGCGACTGCCTGCAAAGTTTGTCAAGCCTTGCCATGAGCTGGACAGACGAATGGAGGAACCTGATGCCTCAGCTACAGGAGCTGACCGTGAATACCCCAAGCAGAATGAGATAGAGGAAGAGAAAAACGAATGATTGCAAAACATCACTTGGGGGCAACTGAAAAGTAACATCCTGAATATGTGTGCTTGTAAAGCAGCTATTATTAGAGGCTGTGATTTTGTGTATGAAACCACCTGTATTTACTAGCTGGTTGCTAATAAGAAACTACACCTTGTATTATATAGATTTGTCACTTGTAAAAGAGATGTCAGAGTATGGAAATTTGCAGTAGCTGCTAGAAAATGCTAAGGCAAAAGCTGGGAAGATTCTAATACAATGGTAGTGTTATACTGGTATAATGGTAGTTGGGGGAGTGTCACGAGGATGGAGCCAGGCTCTACTCAGTGGCAAACAATGACAGGACAAGGGGTAATGGGTACAAACTGGAACACAAGAGGTTCCACTTAAACTTGAGAAGAAACTTCTTCTCAGTGAGGGTGACAGAACACTGGAACAGGCTGCCCAGGGAGGTTGTGGAGTCTCCTTCCCTGGAGACATTCAAAACCCGCCTGGACACATTCCTGTGTAACATTATCTAGGTGTTCCTGCTCCAGCAGGGGGATTGGACTAGATGATCTTTTGAGGTCCCTTCCAATCTCTAGCATACTGTGATACTGTGATACTGTGATAAAGCAGGTAATGGAACAAATTAAGAGGGTGGGAGAATTCTACTGGTAAGAAATTTCTTTGGCTAGTCCCTCACTGCCATCAGCATCTTCAACATGCTGCTGCACCC